AAGCACGACAATCAGGCAAGCGAATCGACAACTGATCAAGCACGACAATCAGGCAAGCGAATCGACAACTGATCAACAAATGCAATCAGATATGCTCACCAGCCACAACTACAGTGCCACTACTTTGACGACCACAGCTGCTAGACTACTACTTACTACCACTACCACTACCACTACCTCTACCACTACCACTACCACTACCACTACCACTACTACTACTACTACTACTACTACTACTACTACTACTACTACTGACTACTACTATTACTACGACGACTATGGTTGTTGGTGTTGGTGTTATTGTTCTTGTTCCTGTTCTTGTTATCGTTGTTGTCGTTGTTGTCGTCCTTGCACTTATGGTTGTGCATGTGGCTGTTGTGGTTGTTGTTGTTCTGGCCGTTAGACTTAGAGTTGTTGATGTTGATGTCAACGTTGATGTTGTTGCTGTTGCTGTTGCTGCTGTTGTTGCTGTTGCTGTTGCTGTGTCTTTGTTGTTTCGTGCGTCAGGCCTCCTGGGTTCTGGGATCGGTAGCCACGAACGCCTTGTTCGACACCGGCTTGATCTGCTCGTTGTGCTCCGCCACCGTCTTCGCCTTCGTCTTCTCCAGAAGGCTCGACACGCTGACAGCAGGTGGCGGGCCAAGGGCGCTTCCCAGATCATCCTTGCTGAAAACCAGCGTCTGACGTGCCACTTTGTAAGGCACCATGTGGGCCGGAGTCGACCCTGACGCTGACGCTGGCTCCGCCATCTTCACGATCTTGCCGTCTCTCACACAGGCGAGCAGGCAATGCGGCGGAAGCTTCTTGTTGGCCTTGACGTCGCAGACGACCATCACCGTGATCTTCCCGCCCGTCTTGAAAAAGCCGACGCTGAAGCTGGCATCGTTCAGGCGGAATGTGTTCTGGAGCACCGACCCTGATGGCATCGACGTCGGCTGCGGATCCGGAATCGGCTTGCCTGGCGCCTCTGGTCCTGTCTGTGGACTCGGCGTCGGGGCCTCCACGGGACGCGGCGGTACTGCAACGTCGACAGGTGCTGGGCCCTCCTGTCACGTCAAGGACACATCTCAGATTGTGAAGGGACTATTCATAATAGTTCAGGGTTTTTGAACGGTTGGCAGAAGCTAAGCAAACTGCGCAAGTCAACGCAAAAACCGTCCTCGTTCTTCACGGACCCTGTGCCGGGGGACGCAGACTTGGACACAGGACTGTCGTGGAAATAGTTTTCCAGAGTCCCTCTGAACTTCTTCACCGGGGTCGAGTCATGAATTGACCCTGACTGGCTGGATCCTGCTGAGGGCATAGCACCGAAAGAGATGCATAGTGGCGACCCAGAAGCAATGCCAGCCCCATTTCGGGTCTGCACCTTCACCGACAACAGACCGTCCGTAAAGCCGGCGTCCTAGGCTGCCAGCAGTCAATGAAAAGAAATCTGGAATGTAGATACGATACTGTAATCATCACCTGCAGCCCCGACTCCGGTCTGACATGCAGACGGCAGTTCGGCGACTTGCCTCCGTGGCAAGCAGTGTTTTCAAGCAACAGGGCACAAACACCGAAGTGAGGACACCACTCCAGCAACGCCGTGTGCCACAGCCCGACATCTGGAGTTACAGGGCGGAACCGCTTCAAATCAGAGCCGAGTCACGCTGGACTTCGCCGTAGGGCGAAAGGTACTGTGCCCAGCCGATGAGGACTGCGAACAGGGTAATTTTCACATCGACGCCGTGATCGAAGTTTTCGATTCTGACCACTCGGTCACCTTACTTATGTGCTGCCAGCTCACCTTCAGCCGTCTGTCCTACAGACAGATCAAATACTACCAAGACTGAGTCGAAAATCTAACAACATCCAGCAAAGTCTCGCAGGGCCCCGTGCCCGTCGCGAGCGAGGAACGCCTGCAACTTGTCCAGCGACGTGAAGAAGAGGGCTGACGCTGCGCCAATCGTGTCTCCATCTCTGAAGGACCTGCGTGTTCCAATCATAATCATATGATCTTGTACTCTATGTGTGTGCGCGTGTGCAAGTGCACTTGAATCGTGGGTTGATGCATTGATGGATTTATTCGATTGGTCCCTCGAATAAGGACCGCACTTCTTCGCGACCACAATACGACCGGACGACGAGGCTTCGATGCCGAGGGAGTAGTCTGCCAGCTGCGACTGCAGAAGGTTTCGGACCTTCTCTGCGAGGCCGGTCTGGTCGACATCGATGCCACAGCGCCATGACCCCGACACCGGCACGTCCTTCGCGTAGATCATGGCCTCCTGTGCGTCCGTCTATCATGTCAAACTGGACCAGAAGTGCGTGTTGCCAAACGATGACTCAACTCCAAAACCCTGAACCTTGAACCCTTAACCGCCTTAACCCTCAACCCCTGAACCCTGCGCCCTGAAATCTGAAGCTGCGACTGCAGTGGCGGGTCCTCGACGTCAGGGACGCAGACACCAGTGACAAAAGTCAGTGAGTCAGGGCCGATCCTCTTGCGGCTGACGACAGACCGCTGGGCCTCCGACAGACGCCTGTTCGTGCAGATCGACCGGCAGAGCTCCTTCCCATGGCCGACAGAGTGCTCGTTCGGCCCCTCGACCAGGCAGAACACTTCAAGGCCGACGGACTCGCAGGCGACAGGCAACCCAGGATGGGATGTCCTCAGGGTCTGCTTGGTGAAATATTATTATTCTATTTTGTGCTGTAGATTTATTTATCAATACGTTATATGAAAACGCGCCTCGACAGCACAATGACCTTCCGGGTCGACTCACAATGCCCGACCTCCTTGAGCATGCGCTCGTACCAGATCACTGGCCTGGCGAAGCAATGGATGTCCTTGGCGTTCGCAAGGTCGACTTCAGACACCTCTGGCGCGGGGACTTCCATGGAGTCCGCATCAGGCGGTGCCTCCGTCACATCAAGCTCGTCCTCTGCGCGTTCCTCCATGTCGTCCCGGTTGATCTCGCTCGCAGGGTCGATGACTTTGGGTTCTGCACTGACTTCCGCGGCTGCATCTGCTGGTCGATACTTGCATTTCGGGTCTGTGCAGCGCTGATTCGTCAGCTCGTACGGCTGGCAAGAGACCCTGTTAATCGACACAGAAGCAGGGATCGACTCCGCGGAATAGGCCTTGCCCTGACCCCTGACGACGAAGGTCGGGGGCAGGTTTGCCGACTGACCCCGAGCGCCCTCCATCTGACACTGGACGACAAAAGACTGCAGGCCCTGGTCCCTCAGCTTCGCCTTGAGGGATTGCTTTGCAAAACTTCCAAGCAAAAGCTTTGAAGCCTAAGTATGCAAAATACAATTTTTAAATTCTGCTTCGGGCCTTCAGGATGTGCAGAAGCTCCAGCCTCGACCCTGTCGGAATGAGGCACTTCACGTAGTCTCTGCCACAGACTTTGATGGCAGTTTCCAGAAGGTAGATGAGGCCGTCCGTGAGGATCTTCGGCTTCGACGTCCGGGCGTCCAGACACAGAAGCACCCTCTCCTTCGGCATCAGAGAGGCTTCGAGCTGACGCTGGAAATCGACCCTGTCGACGTTGTAGAAGATGTGCATCCTCGACAACTGACTCTCGGCGAGCTCCTCGGCTTTGGTCCACGCCGGGTCCTGGCGGGATGCAAGGCATGCAGTCAGTAGCAGTGTCAGCGTCATGCGCAGACAGACAGATGCAGGTGGGACCCGGATGCCGGCACAGGCCTCAAAGCATGGGGCCCACCCACACTCGGGCAATGGCGTGTCAGAGAGCAGGCTTTGATAAGCAACGGACTGCAACCCAAAACTCAACACACCGAATCAATGACGGGTGTCCATCAGTGGCAGGGTCATGCTGACAGACAGACCAAACAACGGACGGACGGACGGACAGACGCAAGGCGGACACGGATGCACTCTCGTGCACACCAAGCCTTCCGTGCTTGATGGCTCGTGCACTTCAGCAGATTCCCGCTGAACCCGGAAAGCTGACCGCTCCAGCGTGGCACGTTAGCGCATCGTCCCGCTGTCATGCACCGGCACAGGCGCGTTGGCCTCAAAGCGGCCACTTGCATCGGGCGGCACGAGCCATCGCCCCACACCCGGCCAGCGGTGTGAGAGGAGCCTTTGTTACAAGTGCCCGGCATCCTCTTCGGTAGGGCCACAATGATTGATGTGAACAACGGACTTTGTCACATCTGTTGTCAAATGGGTGTCCGGAATGCAGTTGCAGGCTTACGCTGACAGACAGACAGACAGACAGACGGACAGACAGCCAAACAGAGAGACAGACCGAACAAGGCACGGATGCACT